TTAAAATCAACCTTTTTAAACCGCGTAGTAAAAATAAAAATTTAAGAAATTTGGTATTAATAAGCCGAAATTTTGTAATAAAAGTATATAAAATTCTTTAAGTAAATTTTTTGCACAGTGGAAATAGGAATGTTTAGATATGCATGAATTTCTGCGAACGGATGTCAAGGAAAACAATGTCTGGCAAGCTGAAAGAAGTCAACACCGCAGTCAGCATTCCGGCGAAATTAGCATATTCCGTTTACGGAACATCTGACGGTGGACGTCAGCGATAAAAATCTGAAAATCCCCGAGAAATCCCATCGCGGAATTTGAATTTGCTCCTCGCGCTGCGATCGTGACGCATGAATCCCGAAAATCTCAAAGGAAAGGGCTTCTCTACATATTCGAACGAAGACCAACCACCTCGTTTTACTCTTCCGATTCGAATAACAAAGTGAACTAGTTCGATCAGAATACATTTTAACGATCGACACAATTTGTCAAGCAAGATTTCTTTTAAATGGAGAAGTAAACTTTTAGCAACTGTATCATGAAATATATTAATTCTTTTAATTAATTCTTTCTTCCATGAAATACTTTTATTTAATGCATTATCATTAATAACAATTAAAAATATATTTAGATATATTTAAGTTTTAAAATAATATATAAACTTAATTTAATCTTAACGATGAAAAATACAAAACATCCAATAATCAAATAATCAAATGATTGATAAACTATTTTTGATTTTTTCACCGATTAAATCATAAGCAGCATTAATGATTATTGATAAAATATCCCGGCTAACTTACTAACGCAAAATTCAAAAATAAAATGCACCGGAGAAAAATTATGGGAAATTAAAATCAGATTTTCACGAGTCGATGCGTGAAAGACCGTACGTTTCGGGCTGCGAGGTGTGAATAGGACTTCCTGTGGGAAAGTCGGAAGGGCGTTTTGACATTCAAAAGCGGTTTTCCATGGTCGGTCTTCGGTCCGGCGAGTGATTTGAATAACAAAGTCCCCAAGAAGACGTACTATCGTTCGTGTCCGCATGAGCGAACAGTTTTCAGGAGAGTTTATCGCGAGAATATTTGCATGCCAAGCGAAATCGATTCGGCCCTTCAGAATTTCTATCGAGCACTGTCGTTTGCTTTGATTCCGGATGTGAATGCGAAGGTAGTTTTTTTAAAAACCGTTCAATCAATAATGTTTCATTCGACAGATCCTTCTTAGGTACTTACAAAATGCAAAGAAAACTACTGCAACATTGAATTATTCGTAAATAATTATCGGTTTTCTAATTAATTCTATTAAATGCGCTTATTAATCACTATATTATTATATGCACACATGTTAATTTTTACAAGAATTTATTTATAATGCAATATATAAAGTTTGTGTCTTGAAATAAATTATTGTAGAATAAAAGAGAATATTTAGAAAAATTTCTATCGCTATTTTTAAGAAACGACATTCTTAGGTACTCATAAAAGTGATAAATTGTATAATATTAAGTGTACATCGGCTTATATTTCTTTCACAGTCTTTCACTTGACAGATCAAAGCGACGTTAGCGACGACTCTTTTGATTCACAGTTAATGGCAGCTGACATCGTTTCGTTATAAAAATAAAAAGCTCGCGCCGACACATTAGAAAGTATGATGAGTAACGTGACCGCTCGAATGATCTTCGCGGGAGAAGACCGCGTTAAAAGAATCCCTGGTCTGACCATATCAGTCGAACAGGTGTGCGGGTACGATGCGGGAATAAACGATTAGCATCCGCGAATCATATTAATCGCCGCTACATTGCCAATGTTGCATCCGCTCGCGTATAATTTCGTAATCGGACACGTATCAGCTTCGAGCATTACATCTCGATTCGCCTGATGGCTTAATAAGAAATAATAACGTATATAGTACGTAATATAATGCGCACGCATGAAATCAATTATCGAGCACATGATAAACAAAAAAAATTATTTTTTTTAAATTAATATTATAGCATATTTTTATATGATTTATATACATTTTTGTTGTAAAAAAATAAATAATTTTTGATAATTATGTAAGAAATCTCTCTGTGTATATAATATGTCAAATATATCTTATCGTTCCATGTGTGCGAAATGTCTCAAATTAATTTTGAAGAATCAACTTTTAGATCTGTAGAATTTATTTTTACATTATACATTTTTGTTGTAAAAAAATAAATAATTTTTGATAACTATGTAAGAAATCTCTCTGTGTATATAATATGTCAAATATATCTTATCGTTCCATGTGTGCGAAATGTCTCAAATTAATTTTGAAGAATCAACTTTTAGATCTGTAAAATTTATTTTTATACAATGTTCTTGACGTCGGAGTCGCGATTACTTTTTTTCGCGAGCATCATCTGATTACAACGCGAAATGACACGAATATTATACCACTCGTCTACAGTTTCTGTCCAGTTCCTAATTCGCAAGCGCAAAAAGAAGGATACAGAAGATTCTACGTCGTCGCAGGACCGGCGATTCGGGGGACGCGGAGGTAGAGGAGAAAAATGGAGCGGGTGGTAGTGGCGCTAGGCGATCGGAAGTATGTCAAATTACAAAGGTCCGCGATATTAATGACTCCTAATGACATGCCCCCCTCTCGGCGGCAACGACTGGCAATGGGGAGAGCGTGGTTTCTGTCCCCACCAAGCGTAAACAGGACCCCGCTCGGGCCGATTCGCGGACCATCAAGATTCGGCCCTCGGCCCGGTCGACCGGTGAACCCGATTCACGGAATCGGCATTAAAAATGCAATTACTAATTGGCGGAGGCTAATGGCAATATAAGACAAACAGCGGACTAAATGCTATAAAGTAAAACACAGGCTGTGCGAGGTTCCTCGCATTCCCCTTCCGTTCTGTCGAGCCTTCCCCATCGAGACTCTCTCGTCCCTTCTATTTACCGATCGTTTCTTTTCCTTCTTCATTCGATTTGTTCGCTTTTCTCGTCGTAGATAGATACTTCTATGAGAAGCTACGAGTTCGCGGAGGGGTGCGAGCTCCCTGTTTACGACCGGTTCGGCATTTCCGAGAGTCCGGTCCAAACGGATTTTTTGTCAGTTCTCTTTTCATCTTTGTCAGTTTCCGCCGGTTCATCCGTTTTTTTTTTTTTTTCGTAGACTTATTCGTGAAAATTAGTAATTAAGGCTATTGTTCCATCAGATTCGCTTTTTCATCAGATCGACTTTTTTCTTTTTATTTTATTATTAAATTATAGATTATTAAATAATAATGATTCAATTATTTTGATCCACTTATTTTATTTATATAATGCAATAATATATGTAATATCGATGTTAAAAATAATTTTGAATATTGCGAGAATATTGCATTTAAATACTATTGCAATAAAGATAGATTATTTCGATAGTCAAAAGAAATATTGTCATCATACTGATATTGACACAATTCCATTTACAGAATTACGCGCTATAGTTTTAACATCGAGCAACTTTCTCAATTCTGCAGATGCAGCTATTTGGCGGCATTCGTTATATTCTGTCATCTTCCTCATTATCGCACATTTTCTGCGAACAACGATACGTCAGATCTCGTGACGCGTGACACCCTCTTCGAGTTCGTCCCGTCGTTCTCAAAACGCACGTTCATGGAACTAACGATTCTCCTCATTAGGTTTATTATACAAAAGTTTGTTTTGCCACACACGCAAGAATTTAAACGACTGGATATATTTTAGATGATAGCGTAGCGTACGCATTATGTTAATATTTACGAGAGACGTATATATTTTATTAAAATATACCCTTAGAGTTTAATAAGCTCTTATATCGACAAAATTTTTACACCAATAATACTTGATTAATATCAATTTTTAGATATATAATATTATTGATTATTGAGACGTGTGATTGATCATGTAATGTATTCAAGTTTAAAATATGCGATAAAATTAAAAAGACATGTATAAATTTTCGTATTTATATTATGTATAAATAGAACCTACAGATAAATTATAGGATATATTGATAATTATGATATCCTATAATTTTATATCTAATTGGTTTCCTCAAATTTCTGTTTGCTACAATAATCCCACAGCTCCAACCGAAATTTTCCCACGCGATATAACACTAAAAATTTGCAGTATTTTTTGTTATATTTAATAGGTGTCGCGTGAGAACCAAGTTAGTTATTTGCAATTTTAGTGCTTCGAATTCGTCTTCGTTCCGCTTCGTAAAAACCTTTGTAAAAGGTTCGAAAAAGAATTGAATTTTTGAAGATTGTCGACGATTCTATAATTTGGACCTCTTGATAAACTTTTTTATGATTCTGATAAAAAAATCTCGTACCAAATGCACATCGCTGACAGATAATCGCCTCGAAGATAAAAGGCCCGGTCAAACGAAAGATTTCATCAAGATAAAATAACAAACTACCCGGCGCCGGATGAGCGACGTTTGCCAAACATAATTGGTTTTATGACATATTTTACGTGGAAAACATTAACCGAAGGCTCCAAGGAAACTGGGGGATTCACATATAAAAATTCCGAGATATGCAACAATGATATGAGCCCCATGATAAGATGCATTTCGTTCTTATGCGATCTAAAATCTATCATCTTTTTGAAGATAATTATTACATATCATAGATAGCGAAATATCGCGGTTAAATTATATTTCTATAATTTTCAAATGTCCAAAATTTGTAAAAATTTTGTGTTTCACTGTACGAATTAATATCGTATTAAATAATTTGAAACAAGATGCGATAAAAATTAATAACTCAAAATACTGTTGTTATGAGGCTCGACGAATATTTTAGAGAAAAGAACGCTTGGAAAACGACTATGCGCGGATTCATTATCGCGGAGGTAGAGAGAGACCGTTTCGTTGTCGCATCATCTTCGTGCGGAATTTATGTCCGGCGTAAAGGCGAAGGTTAAACGACACCGATACGTTAATCGTATCAAGAACGTAGGATAGCGAGCGATGAAACTCTGCAAACTCACCTTGTATGGATTCTGGCGAGGCTGGCTCCTCCTTATCGATTCGACCGAGCGCGTCGCTGCCTGCAACAAAAAGTGCAACGAGGCCCTCGTTAGTGACGCCGTGCTATAAACCGATCGAGAAAATCTTCGTTTCCCGTAAGAATGACGCGATACCAAATGCTTCTTGTTTCGATTGAATTGCCAAGCGCGCGCGTATGCGCATTATATATAGTTTTATCTTAATTACATTAGGGCTACTTGTGTACCTGCTTTCCCTTTTTTCGAAAATAAAAGAGGATGCGCGACCGAAGAAACGACGATAACGAAGACATTGATTTAATACTTTTGCGCAAGCTTCTCTCTCGTCTTCATTGATTTTATTAGAATTATAAAAGAATATAGCAAGAAGTGCATACAAGAGTGCAAGGCGGCGCAGGGAGCGATCGTCAAAAGAATCTCGATACAGATTCGAGATAATCAGATACAGACCGAATAATGTACTTCTTGCTGTATTCATTATCATTTTAATAATATCGAACTTTGCGAATCTGGTTTATTGTTCGAATTCCGCGTATATACATATGAGATTTACTTTTGCCGACAGTTGCACTGTCCTTAATATACGTGACGAATATTGCATATTTTTACTCGGAGGAAACCCACATCTGCCCTGATTAAAACCGGGGATCAACCGGACTGGACGGTAGAGATAGCATCAGAATACGCATTTATCAATCAGGCTCTGCGGGTCGAATTATGCTAAAACACGGGCGATCATCGTGACGCATGGAGAAGTATATGCCAATCGCAATTTCCCGAAAATAGGGCGACGGCGCGCCCTCATTTCGCCGCGAATGCGCGATCGATCGATATTCAAATAATCTATTTGATGGACCCTTTTCGAGAGAGGAGACGAGAAAGGGAAGATGACGGTAATTCGGCGCGAGGATGACCGCCATACGTCACTCGGCGAGAGGGACAAGTTTGTGGGGGTCCGGCAGACTCCAGGGGCGACCACCTACTACCCCCTAGAGGGTCGCAACTCACCCCTGAAACGACTGTATTCAGATAATCCCACCTCTCTTTCCTCTTTTCTTTCCTTTCCTCCGTCGTATTTGTGACCAGGACGACATTTCAATACATACTTTTGCCGGATAACCCGCCACAAATATAGGCGGATATACGTGTCCACTGTGTGGAAAATAGTAGCCGGAATAACGACCACGTAGCACATAGATATAGTTCCCAAGTAAAAGGAATGATAAGGATTTCGGAGTCGTGACTCTCTTGCATTCGGAGCAACATATGTATTGAAAGATTAGCGAGTTTTCTTTATATATCCAGAGTTGACTACAATATATAATGTATATTATATGTATTTTAGTCAGTTCTTTATTCTTCAAGGTGTGCACATGAGCGTTTAATTATCTGACAATGAGAAAATGTATCCTTGCACATAAATTGTTTCTTACAGAACGTCTCGATTTTTCTTTAGCGCCTTAAAAATATCAAGGTATCAACGATTTTTAAATTATAAGTAATTAAATAAAAAAAGGTTGTATATACTAAACTTGAAGAAGCTAAATGAAGATAATAAAACTTTGAGATTTAATTATAAAGATAATATCAAGAATTGCAAAGTTATATAATAAATAATAATTTTCGTTAATGATCTTCCTAAGAAAAAAATTAATTTTGAATTAATTACACAAGGAAACTGTCAGGTGAAAAAACATCATTTCATGATTTTGAGACTGTGTATATCTGTCTGCTAACGACTCACATGCAATTCCAGATATCCAGGTCGATGCAAAATTAAACAATGCGAGTTCCTTGACGAGACCAATTCATTATCGAGCGAAGGACTGTTTCTGGAAAGTAGTACGCGCTTACATTAAATATGAAGAGCGACCTCGCGCAAATATCCAGCTAGAATTTGTCTCGTGCCGAGGCTCCTCTTTTCCTCGTGCACAAATGTAATAATGCCCCAGGCAATCTTTCTTTCGTAAAAAAGTATCACGGGAGAAGAGTATCAAGCGATGCATAATTCATCAATAGCGATCGATCGATTGATTGTTGGTTCGATATCGAAGAACATCGATGATACGATCCTGTCACGGAAAGACACAACGATTACGCTTTTATGCGTGTGTAAATTTTACAATATAAAAAAATGTAGAGATAAAAAGTACGGATTTTTTTAACGTATCTTAATAGGTCGACATCAATTTTTCTGCCTTCGCGCGATTCTTTTACCGATACGAATGTCTCACAAAATTCTCGTTTAATGGTAAACGTCAGCAGGTACGACAATTTATCAAAATGAAATACCGACTGTCGAAGAGCCGCCCGCCGCCTTTAAATAGGAATGAACGGAGATAAGTACGATGCACCTTCGCCTCGTTCGGCGACTCTCCAGAGGACCATAAAGAAGTTACGGTTTGCACATGCACTTTTTTTATCTCATTGCACGCGAACGAATGCAGTCCTATATATTTTCGCGCTTTCTCCTTTCTTCTCTATTTCACTTCATGTCGAAAAATGTAAATTACACCTAGTATCCATATACAGAATATAATCATGGATAATTTCTATCGCGTTCCATCTTCGCAAAAGTTCCTCCAACAATAACAGTATATTTGCTTCGACATAATTTTTTCACACAATATAAAAGAGCTTGGAATGTAAAAATAAAATAAAAATATACTAAGAGAAGCACCATTTTATTCTATTTTAGTGACATTTGACAATCTATGGACTGGCGTAATTGAATTTTTCATAAACTTTATATTTCGCTTGTTCCCAAAAGAATCGCTCCGGAAATAAAATACATCTCTTTCCCTTTCTCCCCGATTCCTCGAGCGATCAATGCCGCTCCACGCGACCAACGTTGCGTCGTCGACTGAGATTTCCGCGGCCGGACATCAATTCTGGAGTACGTCACGGCATTGTCGGCGCTCACTTTTTCACTTATTAATTCGACACGTCCGCGGCCGGGGAATCGCGTGTCTGCGGCTACCGCCCCGAATATTCCCCGCACCTTCGTATTCATAAAGGGCATGGACGGCCTTATATACCTCGTCGTACAAGTGCTTTTCGTGCGCGCACACCCATCAAGAGCGATATCCCACTCAGCGCGATGTATACATACACGCGTGACACCTGTAACTGATAACTCGAATAGCGCGGACAGGTGTCTGTTCGAAGCGCGGCCGCGAAGACGGAAGCGTGTCGAGTCCGTTATTATCCCGCGATTACGATCTCCTTTCGCCGAAGGCCGATTATCGATCGGCTGGATCTCTTTTCTTTTTCTTCGGCGCGATGGATTAATCGACGTGCGCTTATTAGAATTTAAATATATATATATCTGCTGTAAGAAAATTTTGTTGACAAGTTGCGCTCTTTGCTCGAATAAAATTTTCAAACTTTCGAATCGATTTCTCAGAGGATACGAGCAACCCGTCGAAGATAGGATCGCGAGGATATTTTCGAGTGAGTCGATTAATAAAACTCGATCAATCCGGCGCGTGGCCGTATATACGTTGCCGTGGACGGAAACGAGATTTTAATATTTAAGCCCACGGCACGATACAATAAGTATAATAAGCATAGAAGAGCGACCGCTGGTCGGCGGTTGCAAGAGACGGTTGCAATATTAATGCTGACATTTCAGTGCTTTGCGGTAGTTTAACCGCACTCCGGCCCCTCGCTTTAATGGATGCGGCTTTCCGACAGGGACGCTGCGCACGACTTTGCCAATCTTGTCATATGTAGTTTTATATATATGTACATATTCCTCAAAATAAAATAACAATTGATGTCTTAATTAAATGCACCCTGCGCGTACTTTATGAATTATTTATCAACCAGAGATTTAATCTCGTAACATGCAGAATTATTTACGTTGATTTGGATATCATAAAAGAAATTAAATTAAATAATAATATAGATTATCAGCACACTTGTAATAAAGTCACGTTCGCACCTACTTTTATGTGTAATCGATACTCGAATGCAAAATTTGTCCGGCAAAGACGAACGAGTGCAATGCTTGACGTTCAATCTGCTTCCTGTGAATCGCGAGCCACGTGACGAAAAAGGATCGCGACGAATGATCCATCTCCGTGAGCGAGTAGAACGCATTGTGCTTTGGCACGACGTAGATTCTTGGCGACGCGCCGCGTCCCTGCCCGTGCAATACTTGATTTTTCCATATTTTTTTTCGCCCTCGGTCCCCTCCCGTACCGTCCAACGCCGCGAGCGATCATGAATACGAGATGCGGCACCTGGATACATCTAGTTCTCGCGGGTGGCGGCAGTCCGGCCCTCTCATCAATTTTTGAGAACCCGCGCTCGGACGATATGTATGCACCGCCACCCCGACGCCGATAACTGATATGGAAACCACGTTCCGGTCGACCGACGCAAACCAACGACCGGCCACCATGGAAAATCATACGCCGTCCTGCATCGCGCGTGAATAGTGATGAGAAATCGCGGCAAAGTACTCACGCCGAAAGTCGATTGGACGACCACGCGATGCCCGCACGTGATCCTGAGATCTTCGATTCAGCGCCGTTATTTCGAGAGCAAGAGAGAGAGAGAGAAAGAGCGCGCACGATAGGACTGCGAATATTCTTAACGCGAAGCTATACATATGCATCGCCGCGGAAATATGAAACGCCACGATTGGAAACATCGATTTTTCAAAATCGACGTTCGCAGATATTCAAGTATTTATGATGCTGGAAGAAAGAAGGGCTCTTCGGAAATTTTCGCCGCTCGAGAAGACCTTGTCAATTTGCAAAAAAACGCGCAATTACACGACTATACCCAACTTTCGAACATTCAATCGCGAGAATAGTTTTTGCGCGCGTTTCTGAAAAAAAAATCCACAGGTTAGATGGGACTTTAAATTCGAAACTTTTCAAGCGGAAGAGGAAAGAAACCGGCTGGGAACATCGCGGAAAAGGAAGAAAGGGAAAGAGAAAGAGAGAGAGAAGGAAAGAGAGAGAGAGAGAGAGAGAGAGAGAAACGAAGAGAAGAAAGTTCGCTTATACGCGAGCCGAGACTTTTTCCAA